CTTATTCTCTTTTCTGCTTCATGTACTGCGCTGCTTTTCCTGTGTGTGTCTGTGTAGATGTTGTGTTTGCACTGCTCTTTGTGTTCTTGTTGTTTCTTTCTCTTCTTCCTTGTTACCACAGACCCAAGCAACTCACAGTGACAATCATGACAACGATGTTCGTCCAACTGCGCCGCGTGGTGTACCTGTTGGTACTTCTGCACTTCTGTACTTGTGTGGTATATGCGAGACGTCGTAGCGGAGATGGTTCAACAACTGTGGGTGTTGCTTATGAAGAACGTATATCAACTGATAATGAGGAAATTTCACAGAAAATGAGAGATTCGACAGCGAAAATGGAAGAGAAAAAAAAGAAGACTGAAATTACAGCTGATTTACTGGGCAAAGAAAGGGAACGTTACAATTCAGCTTCTAACGATGCGGAGAGATCTGTTATTGAGTGCACACAATTTGCTAAAGAGATTGAAGATGGCTTAAAGAATGTTATGGATAATGATAATGAAAATCAAGCCGAGGAACTAGTGAAAAAGTGCACTGATGCCGCCCAAGAGGTGAAAAAAGTTGCAGCTTCTGTGAAAAGTGCAGCTGATGCTGCTCATGCTGATGCAGATAAACTTTTAACAGCCGTTAAGAGTGGGCGTGAAACTTCAAATGGACGTTTGGATTCATTAGACTTATTAAAGGAATCGGAAATTTCTTCTTCGTTAGACAAATTCAAGGAAGCAGTGACCGCTGTGGATAAAACTAATGAAACGGAAAAATTTGCAACGGAGGTGCAGAAGAATGTCACTGCCGCAAAAGCAGAGGTTGCCAAGGCAGAACAACTGGAACAAGCAGCGAATGACGCAGCGAAGCTTCTGCAGGAAGCCATTCAAAAGGCAAAGACTGCAGCAGCAGCAAAAGCACCAGCAGCAGCAGAACCAGCTCGAGCAGCAGCAGCAGCAGCAGAAACAACAGAGAAAGCTGCCGAAGTAGAACAGCAACAAAACGTTGGTTCAGCACCAAAAAATGAAGAGCAGCACGAGAAACAAACAACGGAAGCTGAGAGCAGTTCCGAAAGCCAAATCAACAAAAATGAGGAAAATAGATCAGTAACAATGGTAACTAAAAATAGTTCAGGGAACGAAACCAACAAAAACGGGGAAAGGGGATCAGTGGTCATAACAGCTGAAAATGAACCAAACACAGAAAAAAATATATCGACTGTGGAGCAACAGAATGACCAACATGCAAGAAAAGAAAACAGCAGAGGCGGAGGTTCTACGAACGAAAGCGAAACAACTAAAAACTCAACCGTTGCTGAAATATTGAAATCTCAAAATATGCTAACTAATTCTCCCTCTACAGGTTCAGTCCCTTTAAATGTTACACAGTTCATTGACAGCAGCAGCAGTCCTGCATTGGTGCACAGTCCCTTATTGCTGCTTCTTGTTTCGATGTGTGTGTTGGGCTGCACTGTCGTTTGCTGATCGTTGTTCCCGTGGTGCAACTGCACAGTTAACCTTTGTTTGAGTGGATATGGATGCATTGTAGGGGAATTTTTCTTCTTGTTTGGATACTGGCCCCTTTTTTTTTTCTATTCCAGTTCGGTAAATTTTTTCTTTGCACTTTTTTGCTGAACACATCTATTGGACTCCCTATGGCACTTATCAAACGACAAACCATTATTATGTAAGGGAGTCTCCTCTTTCTTTGTTGGCATTGTCTGGGCTCTGCTTTGCCGCCATTTACTGTGCCCGCCTAGTGAAGTGTGTATATGTGTCTTCCGTGATATTAATAACTTTATTGCTTTTACCTGTGGGAATGGGATATTTTCCCAACATGTTTTAATGACTGTGGCTGAAATGTGAAGAATGGCAGGAGGTTCAAGACACACAAACACGCACACTACCAACCGTCCTGTCCTTCTTCTTGTGTGTGTGTGTGTGTGTGTGTGGACTGTCATCATGTGTGCATCATTCCCGCTGGTTGCCCTGTACGAAAGACACACACACACAGACCTACTGCCGGAAATTGTGTTGCTTGCCTCCTGAAGATATTCACTTGGTGGTCACAGCTTTCTTTTTGTTTTGTTTTGTTTTGTTTTCATTATTTTGCTTTTTCTCTTGTGGGTGTGTGTTTCATTATAATTTCATTGCACGTTATGTGCATCTGGGGGTTTTCTTTTGCGTTTTCGATACACATTGTGTATCTTGTGTGTTCATTTTTATGGAATGATTCTTTTTTCTTCATTATATACAAACTGCTGCAGGGACATCAAGAATAAAGATATGGGTACGGCACGTTCAGTACACAATGATTTTCCGTTGTTCACCTTGGGGTGGATTGGACTGTGTCCAGGCATCGCAGCCACAGTAACACATGAATTTCATTTTTTTCTTTTTTTTGCTCTATTATTGTGTCTGCCTCACGCAGTCACTCTTTTTTTACATTTTTATTTTGGTATAAAGATCGGTGGGTTGTAGGTGTTTGAGTCTTTTTCTGTGTGTGTGTGTGTGTTCAGCTTGCTACTCGCACCGCCCACGTAATGAAAACACATTTCTTTGTTCTCACCTTCTCTCTCGGTGTTGTCACTCACGGCATTGCCACGAACATATTTGTGCCCTTGTGGTGTTTGTTGTTTGTTGTGTGGCTTGCTTGAGTGACTGCAGCCTGCGGGGAGGGACTGAGACTGTTCCGCTTCGGCTTCACGTAATGGGTCTGTTTTTTTTTCTTTTCTTCCTTTTTGGTGTTGAGTTGATTTGCTGGTGTGTGTGGATGCTTCTCTGATGGGAGTGGTACGTGTGATTATTGTGTTGTGAGCGCCTTGTGTGCTGTTGGTATCCTGTTGTTGTTGTTGTTCTTTTCTTTTGTTTTTCTTTTCCTCTTCTCTGCAGGTGTGTGGCTCCGTGTACATTTTAGGGAATGCGGCAGTGCCTCTCTGATATGAGCATGTGGGAGTGTGCGTGTGCGGCTGTCTGTGCCATTGTGTGTGGACTGTGAGTGGGAAGGGGGCTTTGTGCTGCTGGACCCCTCCACTGCGGTGTTGGCCTCTCGTCTG